TTGATTTTTATATACTATTCTTGTATCCTAGTAGACTTGTTAAACTTACTAGTTTATGATATTAGCTACACTTTTATTTTAGATACAATCTGTGAGATTAAGGAAATTGCATTTTATTCCTTGTTTACAATCATGAATTGATTTGATACTGAACTTACCAAAGGCTTCGGCTGGATCTTTTGCGATGATCACGTATTTTTCTCTTTTCTTATATTAATATGATAAGCTCTGATTTTCCAATATTAAACCAAACTTGAATATCTTGAATAAATCCAATTTTGTTGTGATATACTATTCTTTTTATACATTGCAAGATTTTGTTTGCAAAAATTTGTTTAGGAATTTTGAATCTAAGTTCATGAATGAGATTGGCTTGTAATTTGATTTCTCCAGTTTCATGATAATGTCTGTAGATGTAGATTTCTTTTTATTTTCACTGTTTGGGCTTCACTGGGCTTCTTGAATCTCTGGGTTGATTTATAAGTTTTAGAAAGTTCTAAATGATAATCATTTCAGGTAACTGTTTTTGCCCTGTTCTCTCCTCTCCTCGTGGATAATTATACGTAAATTAAACACTTCACTATATTTGATATGCCTCTTCTAATCTTTTCTGTATTTTTCATATATTCTCTCCATGTTTTAGTCTGGATTCCTTCTTAGGGCTTAGAATTTACTTATTTTCTCTTCAGTGGGTTTATTTTGCTGTTATGTGATGTATAGTTTTCTTAATTTTGATTACCAAAATGTTCAGTTCTTAAATTTCTATTTTCTTTCAAATGTGCTATATTTTTTAAAAAATAATTAATACTTATATCCTTGAACATAGTAAGCACAGCCCCTATTGGTCCGTTTCTACTGATTTTTATCCATGTTATCTTGCCCCTTTATATGTTTAATTACCTTTCTCTGTCAGACATTGTATTTGAAACTTATTTTGCTGAAGTAATTTGAGACTTAGGTTGATATTATCTTCCTTCAGAGTAGATTTCCCATTTGCTTCTAATAGGCACCTGGAGGTATTAGCAATCCAAGATCATTTTACTTTTTTTTTCAGCAACTGTGATTTTTTTTTTTTTTTCAGCCACCCAGATGATCTGAGGTTGAGCTGTGGTCTGTGCAATGACTGGCATACTTCCAATCTACCCTCTCACCTAGTGCAGCCCTTTAAGATCTCAACCCAAAACATGGGGGTTTTGCCACAGTCCCTACCATTGATAGTCCTAGACTACAACATTTTTAATCCACAAGTTCTGCAACAATGTCAAAAATATTACTCAGCTTCTCATCCACTTCTTTTGGATCACCAATTGTACCCAGCCCCAAAATGCCATGTGTCCAAATCTCAGCCCAGTAATTCTTCACTACTTTGTTAGCAATTCAGTTCCAGTTTATATTTTGTCTAGCTTTATTAATTGGCATCAGTAGGAGAACTGCTCTGATTTACCTACTCTGTCCATAACTGTAGATATTTTCAAGCCTTTTATTTCCTTAGAAGATAAGAAACATAGTTTTATGATCTGTAACTGGTATTTACAAAAAAGCCTTGCAATTCTAGTTTCTGCTTGCTATTACTCATAATGATTTATTTACTTTTGCACCCCCTTTTTTGGACTGTGGCTATTTGTTCTTGTAAAATTATTTGACAGAAATTATCTGAGGCCTAGGATAAAGGTATCTGAGGACTTGCATTTCCTTCTGCCAGTTCCTAGGGATACCACTAATCAATCTGGGATTACTTTAAATTCAATTCCCCATTTGAAATGATACAGGTGATGTGAATTTGGGCTGCAAGTCTACTCCAGGGCTGGATTATAGTTATAACTTCTGCACTATGCCAAGGCACTTTCTTTGCAGTCTCTGAGAATGAGGTAAGAGGGTTCATGATTGTATCACAGAATAGGTTATGGTGGTCTTACCTTTGTAAACATAAAACCTATTAGATGTCATAACTTAGGCAGCCCTTAATCTTTTACTTTTGTTCCCCATCCCATGAGGCTTGCAAATCATAACTCACATTTGCAAGCCTGGCAAATGCTCTTGGGGGATTCAGTTATAACTGAATACAACTTCCTAAATTCTTGGTTTTTCTTTGGCCTGATAATTCTTCAATTTCTTCTTAGCAATTTGATGCTTTTAAGAAAGTTACTTTAAATTTTTCCCAGTATTTTTATATGTTTTTGATGGTAGAGTGGGTGCAAGTTCCCTAGGCTGCCATATTTCCTACAGAATTGGGTGGAGTTTGTTAAAAACTGTAACATATGCAACACAGCTTACAGACTCTTTATTTCTAAACAGAATCTGAGAACCCAAAAAGTCAGAAGGGACCTGACACAAATGGTAAGTACTACAATAGGCATGTTTCCTCAGTTTCCCGATCTCTTTCATTACAAGAGTGTTTTGGTGCATCACAAAGTTTAACCTGTTAGCTCTAAAGTAGTTCTCAGAACTTTAGAAAAAGTATCTAAGGAAAACTATCAAAGCACTAACAGAAAACATCAGTGTGTTGAGATCTCAATTAAGAGGGTAAAGACCTCAAGACTGATCTCTCACCATTCCTTAGGGAGTGCTTGCCCAAGTTCCACCAGGCCCACCCTTGTCACTTCTAGGCTGTCTTCAAATCCTTCACTGGGTACTTGGCTTTGGTGCTAATGATTTTGTTACTTCAGGCAGTTTTCCAAACAAAAATGAATGGTTATTTACAATTTCTAGACTGAAATCATAAATATCAGCTGAATTCTGAAATGTCAGTATAACTCTATGAACAGAATTCCACATAAAGTGAGTCTGTCTTGGCTAGGTAAAAGGGATTTTCGTTATAAAAATAGCAAAAGGATCTTACTGTAGGTAAGTTTAGACTCTCAGGTGGTCCTGCAGTGTATACTCTGAGGACAGCTTTACAGCAAGGTTTCTGACACAGACCATTTAGACTGGAGCCAGACTACATTTTTCTCCCCAAAATTATAAGGAATCAGTGGTATTCCAGTAAATTGCCCCTTTGTGAATGAAATAACTTTACTTAAGATTTTCATACTGAATACCTTTCTTATACAGATTTTACCTTTTCCTCAAAAATTCTGTGATTACTTCAATCTAAAACAATATTCATGAGATAAGGTGCACATAGTGGTATCTTCAAGTAAATCCTTTTTAGTTCAAACACAAAATACCCTTTATAAAAATAATCAGTATGTGCTAATTTTAAAATAGAGATTTTTCCAAGGTATATCAAACCTCCAAACATTTCCATCTAGCACATGTCTGACAATTACCAGTTTCTGAACTCTCTGACACTCTGAAAGGGATGTGTTATCCAGAAGAACTGACTCTTTGTGGCTCTGCCACAATGCCTCAGTGAATATGCTGCTCTCAGTTCCTACAGAGGATTGCACTGTCTGACGCCAAAATGCAGCTGAACACTATCTTGTGAAGCTGGTCATTCATATGCCTGAGAACCCAGTAATTCCACCCCTGAGGCATATGCCCTAGACAAGAGCAATGATTCTCAAAGTATGATCCTTGGGCCAGCAGCATCAGTGTAACCTGTGAAATACAAATTCTTAGGACCCACTACAGACCTACTGAATCAGAAACCCAAGGTGGGGTGTACTTTAACAAGTCCTAAGTGATTCTGATGTAGACTAAAGTCTGTGGAGAAATTTGTTCATTTGCTCTGATACAAGAATGTTTGAGCAAAATCGCTCACTTTCTTTTCTCTTTCACACACACAAACCCATACACATTCAACCCTGAATGAATTCAATCCTGGAAAACAATGTCTGTGTCAGGAAAATGGATTAAAAAACTGTGTTATTAACACAATGAAGTACTCCCTCACAACAGAGAAAATAAGTGAAAAACAGCTACACTTATAAGCCTAAATAAAACTTAGAATCATAATTTTGATTGAAAAAATCATAGACATCTACAGTATGATATTTTATATAAGTCAAATACAAGCAAAACTAAATAATATATTACTTAATACATTTATAAATGTGATAAAGAAATAAAGCTATTAAAAAAACAAATAAAAGATATCCCTTTAATACTGTATAGTATTTCCTTCAATGGGAGCAGGGATGGGAATGGGGGTGGAAGGATCACACTGGGAACCACAGATGTGCTGGGAACAGTCTAGTTTTTAAGTTGGGTGGTGAATTCACAGCTATTCATTATATTTAGGTTATTTTTATCACTACATTATTTTGTGTATCTCAAATATTATAAATTTAAACCCAGAAAACAAAAAACAAAAAAATGCAGATAATAAACAAAGATGTCATTACATCAGATAGAAAAATTAGAAACCAACTAAGTGATATAAATTGCATAAACTGTGATATGTTCATTTGGTTACAAGGAATTTTTAAAGACATGAGAAAATATTTATGATAAAATCAGCCGGATAAAGTGGGAAGTGTACAATAAAAAGATAAGAAAATATAATAAAATGTCAACAGTGGGTATTACAGGGAGTTTATTTCTTTTTTGTATATTTAAAATTTTCTATACTGAATAATAAATACTTTAAAAATCATTAAAAATTTTTTAACTATCACAAGAACATTTAATGACTCTAAGTCATTAAAAAAACTGCCAAATTTTCTGTTGGAAACAGTAAGGAAATTGGCGCTTTGTGGAAATCTGGTTGTGATTCATGAGTTCTATAATTCAAAGTTTTACATTTTCTGCCATAAAATTGTACACCTTTATTACTGTGATTCCATTTAAAATAATTTTGTTTTGTTTGTGTGGCAAAAAATATGACTGATCCAAAGATCATATATTTGCTATTGAGGATTTCAATTAAAATGACTGAAAACAACATCAGTTTAATTAAGAATGAAAGGAAAAAACATTGATCAGTGGTTGACCAGCTTCTGGAAACACAGAAGAAATGCATAAATGAGAGTCAGTCAGCCTTATGGTCCTATGTCCTGTCATAGTGAGAAAGAACCACAAATATAAAGGCCAAGCAAGGCAAGAGATTAGTTACATACCTTTTTTTCCAATATTCTAGCGATCTCGCCTAGGGTCCGATCTAAAGCAGAAACTTTATTGTTTGCCCATGGGCCACTGTCTTGTACTTGTAGTTGTTTTAGAAGATCTTTAGCTAATCGCTGAAGCCTTCAATACAAAATGAAAGGGAAGAATGACTTTAATGAATTAGACCATAATATTTCATTTTCCTAAACATTTTGAAACAAAAGTTACTTTCATGATTGTATTAGAAACTGCTTCACAGAGCAGCTTTGAGGAGCAACAAACAAACCACTCTTCAGGCTGAGACTACTTTATATTCATGAATACCAACCTAGTTCTCATGGCACAAAATAGAATTAAGAGGACAGTACTGGCCATCCACAGGATTAGCTAGAACAACAGCTACCATCAGTTTCTGTGTGACATTTAAACTAGAATAAAATTGCAGATGGGGAGAAGGTGAGACTATAATGGCAGAGAAAATGAGTATAAGAAACTCAACAGGTTTTCATATTTTGATTTTAAGTCTTCACGGTAGGCTTGGATATTATGTTGTAAGCCCTGTAAACTCTCAAAACGTCAAACTCCCCATGTTTCAGTTTACAAGCCATTTGGGGATTGCCTGCCACTGATGATGTCATTTACTTAGCAGAGCAATTATTTGCTTTTCACCAGGAAATAACACACATTACTTAGACTGTGGGATTCTTTCGTGAGTGAAGTGTAATATTTCTTTGTAGCCCTTCCTTCTTCTGTTTCATGTACCTCATTCTGAGCAATCCTCTCCTCTCCACTTATTTGCTTAAGTAGCCCACCAACAGATATTCACCAGACACATTCCCAGATCTCTCCAATTCTCCCCTATACATCACTCCCGTTGTCTCACTTCCATTTTAACCCATGATAGATTCTGTAGGCCATCATTATAGTCACTTTCTGGTAAATATGAAATATTCCCTTTCTGTTGTTCTGTTTGTCACTCCTACTAGCCAAACCCCAGCAGTGGTAATAGTCACTAATGTTTAACTCTTTCTGTAGGCCAGCACCATTCTCAGTGTCTTGATGTATTAATTTATTTTAGCTGGATAATCTCTGATCTTGGTATGACTACACATTCAGGATCTTACTGAATCCATCTAGTCTGCTCACTCTCCCACTCTCCACAAAGACTTGCTCCATACATTATCCATTCTCTTCAAAACCCCATCATTTCCTTTCTTCCTCTTGCTTTCAAAAGAAGATCTTACACTTCAGAATGAAAGTGGAACTACTGGAACAAGAAAATTCTCACTTTCTGCCACAAACTCTACAAACCTATCGTATTTCACCCATATTCTCCTTTGCTTCTCCTGTTACAATCAAGGAAGACTGATTCCTCCCTTGTAGGGCTAATCCTGCCACACAGACTCTGTACATGAAGTCTTTCTGGATCAAAATCACCCTCTTCTTCTTCCCCTTCAGTGTCTTTGCAAATACTCTTCATTCATTCCTTCTGAAATGTTTCCCTCAACTCCACATTATCTAGAAAATTTCTACTTACCCTGAGTTTTCAGCTCAAACATTACTTTTTCTGATTTGACTAGTCTTTCAAATTGCTCCTCACAAGTCTTCCCCATGCAGAGGTTTGCAACAGAATTTTCTGCAATGATGGGAATGTTCTATTATCTGTAGTGTCTGCTATGGTGGCTGCTAGCCAACTGTGGCTATTACACACCTGAAGTACAGTTAGTGTGACTGAGGAGCTGAATTTTAAGTTGCATTTATTTATTTACTTATTTATTTATGAGGGAGTGTGCAAGCGGGGGAGAGGGGTGAAGGGCAGAGAGAGAATCTTAAGCAGGCTTCCTGCTCAGCGCAGAGCCCCTAGCGGGGCTTGATCTCACAACCCTGAGATCATTACCTGAGCCAAAATCAAGAGTCAGATGCTTAACTGAATGAGCCACCCAGGCGCCCCTTATGTTACATTTAATCTTAATAATTTAAATAGCCACATGTGGCTAGAAGCTATTATATTGAACAGTACAGAAGCACAGTCTTAACTTTATGAAAGAGGGCTCCTGTCTACCCGTTCACTGCCTTATCCACAGCACCTAATATGCTACCCCTAACATAAGTGCACTCAACAGATATTTAATGATGAATGGACTAAGAACTAATTTCTTCTTCACTTTAATCTTAATAATATCCATAACTTCATAGGTTACAAAATACATTAATGTACATGATCTTATGTAATCCTACGAAAACAATGTCCACTAGTATTATTCCCATTTGAAAAATGAAGAAACTAAGGCTCAGACAAATCCAATGACTTTCCCAAGGTCTCACGATTGGTAAAAGTTACAACAAGGACTCAATTTGATACTCAAATCTCAAGCTTTTGTCTCCAAACAATATTAATCAATTCAAATAAGGACATTTTATTCACAAATAAATACTTTTTCCTTTCAGAGCTTTTGAAGATCGGAAGTAATTAATGTAATGTACCTAACACCTTTTGAAGATTGGAAGTAATTAATGTAATGTACCTAACACCATTCAGGAGTAAAGTAGACATTCAATAAATGACCAACTATTATTACTATTCATTGACAGAAGGTCTCAATCTAACAAAAGGAAAAAGGGAATATAAAAAACACAAAAGTAGAATAAGAACAACATACTTCTTTTCCCTTTCAATCAAATATGGGCTAGAGTCCCATCCGATTAAAGTTACTGACCTTATCATGTTGAAGAATATTGGCAGCGAACTTTATCATGTGATAGATAAGTAGCCACTTCAGCTTTTGGCTGAATAAAGCCTGCACACCATGTAACTAAATATCCAGCCATAGCCATGGATGCATATGAATCTAGCAGTATTCTTACCAAGAATGGTCACATTCCACTGAAAACCAGGGGTACTTAGGGAGGCACAAGGACCATTTTAATTCACAGAATACAAGAGGCTTGTATTTCACCCTGAGGTAAATCAAATCTGGGATTGATATGAACCAAGGAAGAATGCCAAATCAAGGGGATGCTTTGGTAACATGAGATAAACCTCCATTTCATTCCCTGCCTCCACAAAAGTACCACAAATAATATAGCCCCCCTCAAGAAAAAAGCATCAGATTTTGATTCATACAATGAATACTTATAGACTGTCAGGACTTAGGCCCTGAAAATTATATTTTCCCTACAGGGGAAGAAAAGAAGCTGTTTGGAGGGTGCAGTTTTTAACAGAGGAATTGTTATTTGAGTTACTTCTGGCAGAAAAATTTTCTAGCATGAAAAGAAAAAGTAGAGGCTTTGTAACTCCTAGCCTAGAACATGAGAATTATCTGTCAGATAAAAAGCTTTGTGGAGAATGCTGTAAGGTCAAATACTTCTCAAAACTTAAACAAATTCCCACAACAACTCTAACTTCAACTATGTCACTGGTAAATGTGAAATGTAAATATATTTCTGTAAGGAGCCCTAATCTGTATCACAGTCAAGTTTTGGGTGGTTCATTAGGATCACTGGGATGATTTGTAAAAATGTAAGGAGACTGGGTCCACTTTAGTAAATGCTGCTGTTTAGTATGATGGACAGGAAGACATAAACACATTAACATTTTTTTCTTTCACTTCCTCTATTTGAAAGGTATATAGTCTAAACTCAGGGCAATTGGTTCCCCTTCTATTTTTAAATAATATGTTCAAGCCTTTATTTCAAAAGATAAGAGCTTAATCAAAAACTAATGATGTATGGGTTGGCCTGGTGGTGGGTATTGAGGAGGGCACGTTCTGCATGGAGCACTGGGTGTT